ATCCAAAATATAAACACCTCTGAAACATGTGTCTGTTGAGCGTAAATGACCATTAACTTCCTCAATTCAGACAGAGATATATTGAGGACTACATATATTTTTTAATCAGCAGTTAAAGATACTGAAATCATCTGTGTTGTGCTGCTGCTTTCCAAACTTTAGAGTTTTCAGCAGTCACTGCTTTTTGACCTGCTAATTACTGAAATGTTTAAATCTAATAGCTTAGTGATTCCCTCTTGTCTAAATCTAAAATATTAATTTATTTCTTCTGCCACAGAATGGTACCTTACAACCCGGGAAAGCCACTATATCTTACATTCCAAGTGACACGGTGAATGGTTCCAGCTTTGCTGAGAAGCTGCAAGACATCTACACTAAGAATCTGCTTTTCCAGGCTCATCTCCAACAAGTGGAAAAATATGTTCAAGACCTTAATATGACCCTGGACCTGGAGAAGGAATTTTTAGAACCTAAGGCAAGACTTAAAGCGATGTGTGATAAAGTAAAAAAACACATTCAAGAAATGAATCCCTCTATGCCTGTGCTAATAACACCTGAACCACTGCAGCAGCCCAATATGAGCACCTATTACCAGAAATGCTATGGATTGACCGTTCTAAAGAGGCTGGGGGACTGGGGAAAAAATGTAAAGTGGGTAATACTAGAGAAATGCAACAAAGAACGGTGCACCTTAGAAACCTAAGGAGAAAATTGGCCATTTACTTTTCTATATTTTTTCTTATAATATTTGATAGCAAAAATAAACATTATCTCCAAATTTTATTCTTTTAAGAATATTGTGTAAGTCAGTGGTCTCCAAAGCTGGTCCTTAAGATCTACTGTCCTACAGATTGTAGATGCATCCCTGCTTCAACACAGCTGAATCAAATTATTGATTACCTCTTCAAGCCATTCATTTGAATGGAATTGTTTGAACAGCACACATTTATGTAATTGAGAGTTGAATTATTTATATATTTATAAACCATGTATTTATCTGTCATTTGACGTATCTTTTTTCTTTGTTTTTTTTTTTGTTTTTTTTTACTATTTGTGTAATAAAGATATGGAAAAAGGGCAAAATCTGAAATGGTGAGTGATTCATTGTTATGGCATGAGATTAAATTAGTAACTAAAAGAAAACTGGCAGGTAGTGATATGCTGATTTGCCATATTTGATTAAAAAAAGTTGAAAGATGATACTCAATATAGTGTATTTCCCTCCAAAAACACCAAAAACTGATTGCAATATACATAGTAAAAATATGGAGGGATTGTGAAAACTACCAACTTTATGGAGGGAAGAAGAGCTAAAATGGGACAAAATAAGTTGATTATCGGCTGCAGGAGAGAAAGTCTGCAGTTACAATGGCTGTGGGTTTTACAACACAACTAAAGCTGTATTCAAACTGTAAGACACTGCGAGGAAAGGTCTCAGTCACATGGACAAAATCTTGATTTCAGAAGTGTGTGTTGGTGGGGGGGGGGCACAAGCATTTTTTGATTTAACTAAATTCAGCGTGTTTGACCATCCAATCACAGACCTGATTCAGTGGTGCATCAGATGTTTGAAAAGTGAGCTTCACAGGAGTGACAGCAGTGACAGCCAATCACAAAAGATGGTGGTCCAATCAGGAGCTTTTGGGCGTTCTAAACTTAGGGAGGTAGACTTCAGTTTGAGCAGCAGTTTTCTGCTTGATCCTAGTGCTTGATGAATGTCTGTGTACTGTACTGTAACATTGGTTGTGGAGAGTAAAACGTAGAGGGGACCAAAAGTGTAGGAGACATAAAAAATTCATTTTTTAATGAAAATTTTCTCATCTGGTGACATTAGACCTTACTAACATAACGGGGATCATGGATTATTTTGAGCACATCTGTATACTTCAAGAGGTAACTTTGATTTAAGCCATATAGGAAATGCCTTTGAAAAACAGATGTAATTTTAAACAAGATAAAAAAAAAAAACAGGAAGTGAACAAGCATGTCAAATGTTGGAAAGGAGGCACAAATAATACGGTACATTAAAAACAGGGGCCCTGAAGACCTGGGTTAAGAAACCCTGGTTTAAAGAGTTCCTGGTGCAAGGCCATTTAGGCATTTGGATTACTTTTCTTTTTTTTTTTTTTCATTTATCATTTGAACCACAAATGAGCCTTGAGGAGAGGAAAAAAATATGTTCATAGAAATTTCACAGATGATGGGCAAGGTGAGAACTGAATGTTTTTTAAGGACAGACAAATCTTGCAATCATCAGCATAATAATGAAAAACAATACCATATTTCTCCAGAAAAGGTCCCAAAGGGCTGTGATGATAAAGAACTGTCAGTCACAGAGAAATTCATCTGTCTAAAAAAATGATTTGTATCAGTTCATACTCAAATAAGGAAAATGGTGATAACACAACAGTTGACTCATCTGAACCTACCTGATTAAAAAAAAAAAAAAGATAGAACTGAGCTGTACATGGTAGAGTAAAGATTAATATTGTTTATCTGGTTGTTATCGTGAATTAAGACATCTTTTGTGTAAGACAAGGTGAAGGCCTGTCATGATGAAAGTATGATGACAACAGAATCAGAACAAGAAGCAAGCGTTGATGAACCCTGCAGGTAAGAGGTGCAGGTAAGGGGGATAAGAATAAATTACTAACACTAAATTAGCTGTCACTCAGGTACGAGCGGATCTGGTCCACTGGGGCTCCTGTCCCCCTAACCCAGCGTCCAACATTAAGGAATACTGTGGTCATGACTTGGGTTCAGGGGCTCAAGAATTACAAATAAAACTGATTTGATGTGTAATTACAGACCCTTACTAAAGCTGTTTCAGTTCTATGTAAATGTTTAAAACCAGATTAAGAGTAAAAAAAAAAAAAAAAAAAATTAAATAATGTATCATAAGCACTTCTCCCCCTTAGATTTTAGAAAGAAAGGGAACCTTTGATATTGGTCTGAATTTCAACAGACTTATGGGTCAAGTCCAGTTTCTTTCCAAGATGTGGCAATATTGTTTTATTTAAAAATCTAGAGAAGCCAATCTTACTTCCAGAAAAACAAGATAATGTCATAGAATGACCATTATACAGTAAAAAACGTATGTAGTGCCTTGAAAAAAAGGCTGTTTCTGAGATAATGCTAAGAAATGGATAAGAACAAATGAATGCAGTCGATTCGTCCTCGGCTGGAATTACCAATTCAAAAAGGTCACATGTGCTTAAAACCATCCAGATGTAAAGCAATTCTCAGGAAGTGGTTTTAAAACTAAATAGTTTGGCAGTTGACAAAGGAAATCTTAATGCCTGTTTCAGTTTATGTAGGATCTGCAATCTATAAGCTAAATCTTTTTTTTTCTTAGTTTATGTGTGGGATAAATGCAAAAGTATAAATTACTCTTCATATTTGCATCAATAGAATGTGAAGTTTTGCTAATGCATAAATCAGCATGGAAATTAATGGCAACTTTGTACAGTATATGGACTCCGAGCTTTACTGTCATTTGAAACACTACTGTAATTTTGCACAAAATTGTCCGAAACATTGATAAGCCTGAAGGCATGCTTTTTCAACCTTACCCCTTTAATGGGAGATAACAAAAAATCTATATTGCCATTTTAATATTGTTCATTTAATGTAGATCTAAATATATATCAAATATATTGTATAAAATGTGTAAAAAATATGTCAGTGAATTGGAATATTATAAGATATAGTTTTTTGTTGTGTGATGTATCGCTCACATTGCTTGCATCTGAGATTGTGAAGGGTAATAGAGTCAAAGTTTAAATGCATACATACTTTTTCTCATCTTAATCATGTTTCTTTGACACTGGTGTAGATCATCGGCTCAATCAGAGATGAGTGAATGCAGGTTTGCATCATTTGGGTCCAATACAGTTAAAAAGTAGATACTGTCAAAAAGTGGGAGGGTGTGTTTGGTTTTTGAAACATTAAACCATCTTGTGATAAAATGTTTACTTTTTTGGGTGTGTATATGTAGGAAGATAGTTCATACTTGTTGGCATCAGTGACATCATTTCATTTTGTAAATGAACATTTTGTATTATCTTGGGATGTTTATATGTGTTTGGGCTACCCCCTTCCCTGAGCAGGTGGTATGTTCCAGTTAGGTGAGACTTCTAAAACAGCTTGTTGTACTTTCCCTGAAGCAGCAAGCATTTTTTTTTTTTTTTCGGGTTTTTTTTTCTCCCCTTTGTCTTTTATCTAATATTCCTTGCTTTTTACAAATACATGTCAGTATTTTTCATTTTCATAAATAATATTTTCTATTAAATTATGAAGTTTGAGTTTTACATTTAAGAAAAAGTTTATCAGCCTCAGCTTTTGTAAAGGCATCCCTTCTTAGAAAAACCCATTGAATCAGCAGCAATCAGCTTTTTCTAAAGCTTTGAAGGTTTTCATTAAATGTTACGATGAGAATACATCCAATTTTAGCCATACTGGTATCCTTTATTTAAAAAAAGACAAACTAATTATATCAGTTGAGAAAATAATTCAATGGTTTTAACTTAAAAAATATATAGTTTTACTAGAATGAATCAATGATTAGAGGTTAAGAGCAAACGCACACAGGAAGAGCTGCAAGATCGATATCAGTAAGATTAGGAAAATATGTCATCATAAGAATACCAGATAACTGCTTACCAATGTAAAGGAGATGATTCAAATTTAGGATTTTTTATATATGTATATAAAACAAAAACTACAGACGTTAGTAATAGTGATAGTTATCACAAGGTTCAGATTGAGTTTGGTGAAGTCCATAAACGTTTATTGTTTTCCTGTTTGCTTTTTGCAGTATTTCCGTTTGTAGAAGAGACAAAAATTATGCTAAGTTGCTGACCTAATGAACGAACTCTGTTATGAACGAGGATATGAAGAAAGTTTATCATCAGTAAATCTTCAACACGCCTCTTTTAGCCAGTGCATACATATACTTGTAAAGCGGTTCGACTGAGGTGCAGTCACTGTTACAGTGCCAAATAAAAATGAAATACATACCAGGTACAGTATACCAGAAACTCACTTTTCCCCCCCCCCACCACACATCAGTTGGTATCTTTAATATATTTATTGATTTTCTTGAAGTACTTTTTGGTCGTAACTGTTTAAAAATGTTGATATTGTGCACCTGTTTGCAGGTCTACTTGGGGTGGCATGTGCCTACATGCTGATCCTGGTGGAGGGCTTGGCTGAAAGAAATGGATCCAAAAAACATATTGCTGGAGGAAAATGTTACTTGAAAGAGCTGGCAGCCCTCACAAAACATCAGGTGGAAGAAAGCTTGATAAGTTTTGTAAGTATGAACTGGTGCAAATACCTTTAGCATGTTTGGGTTACATATTTGGACTATTCTTTGGCAGTATAAATCCTCAATTGCAAAATTTTTACTTTTGTTCAAACAATCACGCTTGCAATTCAAAAGAAAAAGAAAATATTCTTCATGCTAATATGTACATATATAATTTCAGAAGTCTTGAAGTTGTTAAATGTTCCATTTAATAGCTGAAATATATAATAACTTTTAGTAGATATGTCCCTAAAATTAATTGTATATATGTCTCAAGTTAGATTAAATGCAGTGGTGGATGAAGTACTCAACAGTAGTACTTGAGTAAAAGTATTGATACTCATAGTCAAATCTTAATCAACAACAAGTAAAAGTTACTCGGTCACACATCTACTCAAGTAAAAGTATTGAAGCACTCACTTGTGAGTATTCAAAAGTATGTGCATTTATAAGTACTTAAGTATTCAAAAGTAAAAATCTAATTGTCTAATATCAGTAAATTTCTGTATAATTTTCAGAGTAATTTTAAATAACTTCATAACTTTCAGAAACCAAATGAAATATTGATGCGTAGAACTACTTGCTACAAATTTTTCACCAGCTGTAAAGAACGTCAGCATAAAAATGCCACAAAAAAGGAAAGATATTTTATTATTCCTTATTTAAAAAAAAAGAAAAGAAAAGAAAACAAGAGTACCTTGATTTTATCTCCTCAAACGTCCGCTATGGAATAGAGGTTTAAAGTTGAATCCATTGCCACAACTCTGGTTTGAGAACTAATCCTACTGAACAACTTGGTCACATGGCAACAACTAACACCTAAATAAGTTTTTCACATTCATATAATGTCAAACAAATCTCTAAAACAGTGGTGTCCAAATTCTTTTTAACTTGGAAATGGAATGGAATGAAAGTTATAAGTACCCCCCCAAAAAATGACTCCAGTAAAGATACTCCAAAAAGTACTTATGAACAGTAATCAAGTAAATGTACTAATGTACTAACCATGGATGTTCTTAGAGGTCTTATCTGGGTCTATATAAAATGATCCACAACTTGACTGATATTCATCTTAATGCTTAAAACAAAGGTGCACTCTGAGGAAATGAGTACTTACTGGTGCATAGCAGACTAAGAAATTAGTCATCATCTCATCCATAGACAATACTTATTAACGGTGAAGTCATGTAAAAAAAGAGAAGTAGCACTAAGTCGTCTGTGCTTTGTCATTAACAATATCAGTAAAATTAGTACTGGATCTCTCTTTCAGGATAAAGCCAATGGACAACACCTTGGTACTTGGCTGCCTGGCTTTCCTGAGCTACAGGTCCACAAAGATTCTTTCAATGGGCCAAAAGTGCAGTGCAGCCTAACATTCATGGCTCTAGGGCTGGAGAAGATCTTGGAGGATCAAAAGAACGACCTGAATCCAACAGATGTTTTACTTCACAAGATGCTTTGGAACACAATTTCTCGGGTCATGATGCTTAAAGCTTGTATGGAGGATTTTCTCAAGGGCAAATGCCCCGAGGATCCGTTGCCACCAAAGATGCCTAAGCATGTGTTTGATAGGAAACAGTGGAGCCACACTCTGTTGAAGTCAGCCAAGTATTATCTGGACTGGATGGAACATAAAATCATAGTTTCAAAGGCCAAAGAGTTTAAAAAGAAAACAAATCAGGTTAAAAATACTACATTACATAAGTACATTAGGGGGAGTGTTTATCATTTGTGATCTCAATACGTCAGCTAAAAAGGCTGATCTAGTTACAATTAATGCATCCCAAAATATTTCCAGCATCAATTTAATCAGGAATTCTCTTTTTAGTATTTCCTAAACCTCGGCTGATCGGACCCCCGTATTCGTCTTTCAAGTGCAGTGTGCGAGTTTAGAAGCAGTTGGCCGTATTTAGCCATCGCGCAAAAAGCTTCCAGTTAGCTTAGCATTACAAGGAAGAAAAAAGTTCAGTTAGAAACAGTTTTAAACTTCAAATTAAAATAGTATTTTTTTTTTTGGGAACAAAAACATTCACACATTTTAAAGTGTTTCAGTTAAGCTAATTGATGCTAGCTTAGGCTTCTACTATAGCCTATCAATGCAGGCCACTTCACCTATTGTACTGTAAGTGGACCAGTTTACAAAATAAAAAAAGACGTAGCGGTATCAGAAAGGGTTTTATTTTATTAAATTTGATAACCCCCAGCAATTGACACATTCCTGTATGACTGTAATTAATCAACATGCCAGGGGATAAATGAGAGGGGACTCTTAGCGTTTCCTAATTACAGATGGTTGTTTTCTTAGCCTTCATGGTGATTAATTGTTTTGCTCCGGCCACATATCTCTCGTGAGATGGCCACACTGCCTGAGGGAGAAAGTTAATCTAAAAGAATCACCTTCTGAGAGCTCTTGGTTTAGACTTTAATCAACAAACCTAGCAGAAAAATTAGCAGCCAGATGGATATCACAGAAGTTGATGTCCGTGTGGCTTGCATCAAATCACACTGTAAAAACAGATGATTGATGCCGGGCCCATCCAGGTCGCAATAAGGGGATCATTCATTATTTATTAGTTCTTCTGAACTACTGTCAATGTTCAAAATGTGTATATTAATCCATTTTATTTTATCATATGCATGCTGTTTGCTCACAAACAAAGTTTTTCTGGTCTTGCAATAAAGTGGTCATTTGAAAATATTTTTAATGTGATTCAATTCCACGGCATTTTAATTTAATCGCTAACTGATATCGGCAGTTATCACACAAAAAACTAAGAAGAATTTGTTTCACAGTCACTTTTTATTAAATACCTCTTACAGTATATATGCATGCAATACACACAAAAGCACCAACACATTCTTTGCGGTTTTAGTTTAGTCCAAAAAGCAAACAAACAGATATGTTAAGATTAAAACTGTTTCCATAATATGGACATGTTCGAAGCAAAACCTGATGAGTAAGCTGTCTTTGCAGGGGACTTGATGATCATCACGGATGAATGTATGAGGCGTTCTATGCACTTATGAAGTGTAAATATTACAATTTGCAAACTGCATTTGACCATCTTTCTGAGGTCGGAGTTTTTGAACGTCTTCATCTAACCGAAATAATGCCAAACCGTCCAAAACAGTCTTCATTTTGTTGTGTCTTTTACTGAAAAATTGTCTTTTAAACAACCCAGTGTTCAGATTGTTCGTCTAGTTCATACGGGTAGGAGCTCTGGAGGACTTTCACCGTAGCAATATTTTGCTTGAGGGTTTCGATAGGTGTTCTCATGCTGAACACTCTGAGCAGAAAGAGAGAAAAAGAAGATGGACAGTTAAACTTTAATCAAGATCTACTTGAAACTCAAGATTCTAACAAGAGTGTCAAAATATTTTTAAGGACTCAAGAGATAATAAAAGAGACAATATGTGAATACTAATACATATATTAATTCAAATTTCTACAGGAAACAAATGAGACAACTCCAATGACAGAGATAAAAAAAAAAAAAAAGTTGTGCATGGTTTTTAAATCTTATCTTGATTTCATAGATGATAATGCATGCAAAATGTTGACTTCAACTATCAGCATAAATTTGTTTGGTAAGTGTGGGGAGAAACACTCACCCAAATTTCCCACGGATATAAAAAGTCCACACACTGCAGTGAAAATACCCACTTTTTGTGATGAAATAAATGACTATTTCCACTCTTTCTTAATCTCTAGAGTCATCTATGGCTGTAGATTCATAATTGGCTAAAAAAAAAACCATCCCATTATCAAAACAACATCATATGCAGAGAGGAATAGTGGTGGAAGCATTAGGGTTTGGGACTATTAAGTAGAATATTGGATTCTTAGTTAAAAAACAATAGTTGAAGTTATAATTAAATCCAAATACCAATCAATGTTGCCTCAATATTCTCAAGGTTCTGCTAAAAACATGAACATAACCCAAATATTAAACTCCAAATCATAAAAAAGATTATGGTTTGAAAATCAGTAGTGCTAGGATTAGGGTGTTAACTTTTTATATCCGTGGTATAATTTGTTCCATCATTAATGCAATGTTATACTTTTAAAACATGACCTGTATTTAGCTGATCACGTACTTGTGAAGAGGTCCTACACTTGGCCAGGCACAACTCGAAATGATCCTCCACAGCGGTGAAAAGATTCTGGAAACCTTTAGCTGCACGATTCAGAAAGTGCTCAAGCAGAGGTTGCTGGGTAAAAGTATACAGATAAGGTATTGATCAATTGCTAAGAGTGCATGTTGAAAAAATATATTTACGCAGAAAATTGAGGAGATGCTGATGACGGTTATTAATCTTGATGTTGTGGAGTTTGAGGTGACAGATTACCTTATCAGGCTGGAGGCAGCAAGACACGCAATACTCATAGATGCTACAGCAGCCGTTGGCGAGGCAGCTTTTACAAATGTACTGCCTGGTGCTGGGGGCATTGATGTTACAGCAGCCATTAACCAGCAAGTCCTTTCTCTCGCACACATAACCTGTCAAACGAGCAGAAGGATTGATTATAGGTAAAATGTGGTGTTATCACTGCAGCGATGGTGAGTAATAGCTGCGTTATTTACCAAGTTCATCTGTCAGCAATATCTTGCCCTGGATGGAGTTTCTGCATTGAGTAATCTGACGGCTGCTGTTCCCCAGGTTGAAACGCACTTTCCAGGCGATGCGATGGTCTGAATCTTTAACTTCTAAAAGTGTGCGGTCCCGCAAGGACCTCTCCTCCTGCAAAATCAAAGCAGCAAAAACAAGTGTCATAAAATACATTAAAGAGAAGAAAAAAAAAAGAAGACATTTTTATCTTTTAACATTGAAACATGCAATCCATCTGAACACCAGAAAGTCCAATTTTGAATAAAATCTAAATGTTGTTTTTTTCAAACTCTTTACTTCCGATTTTTTACTTTTACATCTCCAATTCCATCAGTCTCAACGAAAACTTTTTAATCAAGTAATCAAGAAACAGGTAATAATTGACATAAAGACGCATGTTTCCTCGTTAAAATCATGATTGGCCCTTCGTATGTTTTAGTGTTATGTGTGATAATACTCAGCTAATCTAATCAGAAAAATAATCAGTTTTTCCATGCATAATATATCAGATAATTATTGTGTTAAAGAGTTATGGAAAGTAACATTTTGTAATAAACTAACATAAATAAAAGTGATAAAATTCTGTTAGGCAGGCAACATAACATCGATACATCATCTAAACCAGGGGTCTGAAACCTATACAATCCAATTTATATATATATATCGCGTGTGTTTCGTTCGGTTCATGCGCTGCTCCTTTTTCTCATAGGCGAAGCGTTTACACTCCTGAGCAGAAGGTGGCGCTACTGCGACCAAAGCCAACCACCAGTAGTAAACAAGAAGAAGAAGAAGCGAGGCAGCAAAAAATGGTCACTTTTTAAACACCACAAGTGAAGCGCCAGGGCATACAACAAAAAAACAACAAATGTATCCAACAATCATGTTTCTGGGATGTGGGAGGAAGCAGAACATCCAAAAGAATAAACATATAGACATGCAAGAAGAGCTCAGATGGGGATCTAAACACAGGATCATCACCTCTCTTTCTAATGCATCTTAATTACACATATTTACTGTATTTTGTTGTGTCAGATCTTAATGATCAGTTATACTGTTCATTTTTGTTTGAAGCTTGATTTTTTACAACCTTTTCAGCATCTTTCTGTTGCATGTAAACAAATGTCCATAGTAAGGACTGGGACTATGTACAGAATGCTTCCTAACAACCTGTTTCTGCATAAAGTATATTGAGTAATCTGTTTGATTATCATTATTTTAAGCCAAAACAGAGAGGTATATTGTCAATTTGATATTCATATAGATACATTGGTAACTTCAAATTAAAGTTAAGAATGAATTTAGAGAATAAGCTTAGGATTTCTACCAACTGTGCAACCACTAACTTCAAAAGTACAGCTATTTTTCAATGTGTAGGTTTTTATTCAAAAAGCTAAAACTCAATATGTTTTTTGTTTTTTTTATATGTGAGATTATGCATCTGTATTAAAAGGTGAATCTATTTTAAGCATTTTGTAATTGACCAGTAATCCCATTAAATCTGTCCAACACTGTACTCCTCCTGTCCCTGATCTAACGCCCCCAGACTCTGCAAAGGATGAACCCATCTGCTCAGGTGTGTCTCTGTACCTGTTTTAGTGTGCTGGTAAGAAAATAGATGAGGGACAATCCGAAGACCACCCCCAGCACCCAGCGCTTCCTCAGTAACCTCCGTAGAACCAACATCATAGCATGATTTTTCGTGGGAAAATGCAGGCGACAGTCCAAACCATTAATCCTCCTTGGGTATTAATTCCCCCCCGACCGTCTTCAGCTTCGAGATATTACAAGCTATGTTTCAAATTATGTGCAAAACGCATTAAAAGCTCAACTTTAGCTGCCTGTCAGAGCTATGAAGTTAGATCTTAGCTAACCCATGTTGCGCTTTTACCATTAATTTAAAACTGATATTGCCCCCCCAGTAAACTAATAATTTTAATTATGCAGCGATAAAATAAATAAAGACATTCGAGCTAGCTGTGTTCCATAATAGAATCTCGCTTTGTCAGCCTGCTAACTAGTTAGCTTTCGTTAGCATTAGCCTTTGGCAGCCAGTAACTATAAAGATACGCTAATATTATATAACAGTGTCTAATGGCGGCGATTTATCTTCTTTGGTGAAAATGATAATAGAAAAAAAGGAAATTCCCAGAATTAAAAGCCGTAAGCGTTGTGTTTCTACTGCGAAATCTTAAATGTGTCAACAACATCAACGCGTATCTGAAAAACGGATGTATGCTGACGTTATACAGGAAGTTTTCCCATCATCATCATCATCAGGTGCTAAATGTTTTTAATTTCGTGAATTACCTTAAGAAATTGATAGAAATAATATAAGATTTAATAACTTACTTATTATATTTTTATTGTATTTATTTTTTATTTTTTTGTGGGAGAATTTATACATAACATCCCGATCCACACTCCAATCCAGTAGATGGCGGTAATGCACATCAATAAGTTGCTTGCCAAGCACCATAAATAAAGAAGTAGAAGCAGCTAACGGGTAATCCATGAAGCTAACGCAGGTAAAGTAGCTACGTATGCTAGCTAGGTAAACAATATAAGCTGAGCCAAGATAACCATGGTGCTTTGGTTTTTATCTTTCCAGGGCTGGGCCATGTGGTGAGGCCATGCAGAGGAGACACAGCAGCAACACGGATGGCATGCCCTCTGAAAGGTGGGAGAGACGCACTGCTTGAAGGCTGCCCTTAACCCTTTACAGGGCCCTTAGTGAAATACTTTCCAAATCAACATTTCAAGCCAATAGTGTTATTAGAATCATGGACAAAGCCTT